GCATAGTGTGTTGGTTTCATCATTTTTGTACATAATTACGTTTTTTTTTTTTTTTTTTAAGCAGGATATTAATCATTTCAATAAATGATAAACGTAATTTACAATTATTAATTTACCAAAGCATAGCCAGATAGTACCAGCAATTCTAAGTTTTTGAACTTTTGCTTTATATATCAAACATAGTAGAAGAAATCGTTGAAACTATGTATTAATATCTTGGAAAAAAAGGAAAAAAAATTATATTTCACTAGATTTAGAATATCATTGAACGAAACCAACCAATAACACCACCAACGACTAAACCAGCCAAAGAACCCATTCTCACTATCATAATATATTATTCATTAAATTTAATACGTAATTAAAGCCTAGATAAAAAAAAAAAAAAAAACGTAATTATGTACAAAAATGATGAAACCAACACACTATGCATAGAAACTTTTGCCTTGGCACGATTGAGAACTTCAATTTCTTCTGCCGTAAAATTGTATTCTTTAGTTCGTTCTTTAATTTTATCAAATACAGACATTTTATTTATAGGTGATGAATTTTGTCTCAATCTCCTATACTATTTATATAACTATTATAACTATGAATGTCAGATCATCTGCATAAAATTTCGATGAGTTCCACATGACCATAATATCATGATTTTAAACCAAAATGTCAAACGAGTTTTCTTGTTTCTTTTACGGTTCTCTGGTTTCTCCGGAAGTAATAAGACGCGTACTTAGTGATAATGGGAATGAAAAAATTACTGTTGATCTTAATTCGGGAGCTCCGGCTGTCTTGAAGGTAATATATAAAAGAGGTTTTTCCAAATGCATTAATCCCGAATATAACTTAGATCACTTTATATAAATGCACACACTTTTCAAATTCTTTCTTCGTATAATCGTCAATATCGATCTTTCTACATTATGAATTTAATTTCTCCTATACACACTATTAAGGGATATAAACGTCATAAAGTCCGTGGAGCTTGGTATCCAGCCATAATAAAAAGTAAAGATGATGAAACAAAAGGAGTTGTTTTTAAAGGTCTTACTTATAATGATCTTTTGAAACTTGATTATTATGAGGGTGATGTAAGCAATTTTTTTTTTTATAATTGCTGCTATATGGTTACCCGAGGGTATATAGTAAATTACTCGGATAACTTGGTAATTTAATAATACTTAATAATACCCGGGCAATCTTAATTTTATTGATAAAAAAAAAACATTTAAAACAATTATATTTTATTAATTTATACATTTTGTAGCAATATAAAAGAGTAAATGTTGAAGTATTTGTCAATAATTCAACAGATCCTATACCTACTCAAACTTATGTTTGGATTGCTTCTAATGATTTATTGGAAAATGAAGATTGGAGTTTTGATGAATTTAAAAAGCAAATGCAAGAGAGTAATATTAATTTGTTTGAATAATATATGAAAAAAAAAAAATGAAGATTGGGATCTTAAGCAAGTTTTGCACGTTTTCTTCAATTGATTTTTTGTTCGCAAAGATCAAATGAAAATATATTTAATCTTTTATTTTGATGCATTCACTGTTAATTATTTGTGTATAATATTTTTAATATTGCTACAAGCAAAAATTGCCTGATTTCAGTAATTAAGATTACTCGAAAGGCAGTATGCACACGTCAAATTAATAAAATTTAATATTATTCACATTCTCATAGGATGTCTTTTTTTTTTTTTATTATTTGATTAATGCTAAGGATAGGTTTAAGCATTGATATTTTTTTGTTAAAAAACTTTTATTTAATAAAGAAACGCTTTCAATTTTTGCTAATCCAAGTTTTTTAAATAAATGAAATTAAAAAGTAACACATTTGATAAGATAAACATTAAACTTATTCTGTTCGAGACAATCACTTTTTTATTTGAGATAAACGTCTAACAAAGGAAATTTTAAAACGATATTTAGTAACGACCGAACTATCTATTGCTCGTCAAGACATTATTTAAGGTAACTTTGATTTAATAAGAAAAGATTAATTTGATAATTCGCTCCGGGTGGAATCACATGACGCAGATTTACTTATATCGATATTTTATTTGTTATAAAGGAATTGACTGTCAAATAGGGATACAAATTTGATTGGTTAGATATTTTTATGTTACACATAGAAAATCAACAAACTTCTAATTAACTGCAATTATTGAAAAAAAAAAGTTGACATGGATGATTCACTTTACGATGAATTTGGTAACTACCTTGGGCCAGAATTGCCTGATTCCGACGAGGAGGAAATAGTTCCTCAGCCCATGCAAGATGTTGAAGATCTATATGAAGAAGGGGAAGAAGATGCAGGTGGTCCGAGTATGGCGCTTATGGAAGTAGACGGTACGTGTGGATCGATTTTTTTTTTTTCCAGTCCATACTTATTCTTTGATTATATACAAAAGTTAAAAATTTTCTCTTTGACTTTTATCTCGGAATTTTCGATCGTACACACTGTTTCTCTGAGATGCCGAGTTTATTTTACGCGCCTTTTCATTATTCCCGTTATTCCTTTCTTTTTTTTTTTTTTTCTTTTTTACTACCGTTATATTATGTATCTGACTGATAGTTGAGGCTTAACTCTTTCAGATGTTCCCCAGACTCAAGTTGTTCTTCATGAAGATAAGAAGTATTACCCAAGTGCCGAAGAAGTTTATGGACCTGAGGTGGAAACTTTGGTTCAAGAAGAAGATACTCAGCCTTTATCTGAACCAATAATCCAACCCATAAAAATCAAAAAATTTCAACTTGTGGAAAAAAATCTTCCTGAGACAAGATTTAAAAAAGAGTATTAAATTTTTATAGCATTATTATTATTTCTATCTTGGTTAATATTTGTTACTCATCTAATTTTGTTTATTTACTAGATTTTTGGTGGATATGATGAATTTTCCAGAATTAATTAGAAATATCGCTATTATCGGTCATTTACATCATGGTAAAACTTCTTTTGTTGATATGTTGGTTAATGAGACCCATTCATCAGTAGCGTGGGATGTAGATAAGCAGGTATTGTGATTATTTTTCTTAAATATTATTTCTATTTATCATATCACTCATTCATTATTAACATGAATGTATAGGAGCGTTATACCGATACTCATACATTAGAAAGGGACAGAGGTGTTAGTATCAAAAGTATGCCGATGACACTTGTCCTTCAAGACACGAAATCTAAATCATACTTATTCAATATTCTGGATACTCCGGGTAAATATATAATCATTATAACATAAATTTATTACCCGAATTTTTTTAATATTTAATTGTTATATGAATAGGTCACGTTGATTTTGTGGATGAGGTTACTGCGGCGCTTCGACTTTCTGACGGTGCAGTTATTGTGGTAGACGCGATTGAAGGGGTAATTACGTGAATTCTTTGAGATTTCTTATAAATTTCATATTTTAAAATTATTTATTACAGGTTATGGCCAATACCGAACGCGTTATACGGCATGTTATACAAGAAAATTTAGCGTTCACATTAGTAGTAAATAAAGTAGATAGATTGATTTTAGAATTAAAATTACCACCAAACGATGCATATTATAAGTTAAAGCATACCATTGAAGAGGTGAATTCTATTATAAGGTTTGTTTGGAATTTTTTTTATACAATACATACAATATATATATGTACAAAATATATAACTCTTTTCGAATTATTTTTAGTCAACATGCACAAGGTCGCGATCTTCGCGTGTCTCCTGAACGCGGAAATGTTTGTTTTGCGTCCAGTCAGATGGGTTGGTGTTTTTCCTTAAAATCGTTCGCAAAAATATATGCGGATACATACGGTTAGTATATTTATCTTCAATTAAGTTTCAAATTATAATATTTTAAATCATTATCATTACTTTTTTTTTTTTTTTTTTTAAACAGGTGATATAAGTGCTGATGATTTTGCAAAACGTTTATGGGGTGATATTCATTATAATCCCACAAAGAGGTCTTTCAGTAGGAAAGGCATGGAAGTTAAAAGCCAACGTTCGTTCGTGCATTTCATTCTGGAACCTTTGTATAAACTTTACTCTCAGGTAATTAATTGTTGATAATATGATTATCATAAATCTATGTTGTTGTTTTAATAAAAGACACTTTCTCTTATTTCCTATAGGTAATAGGCGAAGATGAAGCTACTTTAAAAAAAACTTTAGCTTCTCTGGGTATCTATTTGAAGGCTTCACACTTTAAACTAGATGTTAAACCATTATTACGGATAGTGTTGGATCAATTCTTTGGTCCTGCAACTGGGTTCGTCGATATGGTTGTTCAACATATTCCTTCACCAGAAAAAAATGCTAGTAAAAAGGTTGGTGGTATTACAAAATTTTTTTCATGTGGCGTAAATAAATTAAAATTTATGCCGTCGAGGTGACAATTATTGCAGTTTTTGGTTTGAAAATCATTCTTATGTAATGCAAAAAATATCGAAAACCCAATAGACGTCAATATTTTGATTTTTCAATAAAATAACTTTATTTCTGCTAGATAGAACACACTTATACCGGACCGATGCATACAGATGTGGCAGAGGCAATGCGTAAATGCGATTCAGATGGTCCCTTAATGATTTATGTGACAAAGTTATATAATTCATCTGATGCGTCAACTTTTGACGCGTTCGGTCGGATTTTGAGCGGGACGGTTAGAAAAGGTCAGACTGTAAGAGTACTTGGAGAAGGATATTCAATTGATGATGAAGAGGATATGACAATACAAGAAGTTTTAGATGTTTGGATCTTTGAATCTAGGTGAGTCATTATATTTCATTGATCTTATATATATTAAAAATGTGTGATTCTAGAAATGTCGTCCTTACAGACAAAATTTAATTGAAAATAATATTATTAAATCTATTTTGAAAAAAAAAAAAAAGAATTCCTAGCAAAAAATCCCATATCTTTCAAACAATCTGGTATTTACTAATTTTTCCTATAGATATCGAATTGGTGTGGATGGTGTACCTGCAGGAAATTGGGTACTTTTGGGGGGCGTTGATAACTCGATTGTGAAAACAGCAACGATTACTGAAAATTCTGATGATGAAGGGCATAAACATATATTTAGATCATTGTCATTTGTTACAACCGCTGTACTTAAAGTGGCTGTTGAACCTGTCAATCCTTCTGAATTACCTAAAATGTTAGATGGATTACGAAAAATCAATAAAAGTTATCCTATATTAATAACAAAGGTAACCACTTTTTTTTGATTGTTAATAATATTTCAAATAACAATTTCTCATCCTAATTTGATTTATAGGTCGAAGAATCTGGCGAGCATATTATTCTTGGCACAGGAGAATTATATTTGGACTGTGTTTTACATGATCTTCGAAGAATGTATGCTGAAATAGAACTTAAAGTTTCGGATCCTGTTGTTCGATTCTGTGAAACTGTTGTGGAAACATCTGCTTTAAAATGTTTTGCCGAAACTCCAAATAAAAAGTGCGTATGTGTGACGTAACCTCTTATGGAATAATTTAAATAATTTATTTTCATATTAACTATAAATCTTTTTCATAGGAATAAATTGACCATGATATCCGAGCCATTAGAAAAAGGTATCGCTGAAGACATTGAAGCTGGTAGAGTAAGCATAAAATGGGATGTAAAAGATATTGCAAAATTCTTTGAAGAAAAATATTCTTGGGATGTGTTAGCATCTCGTTCAATATGGGCATTCGGACCTGATGAGAATGGTCCAAATATTTTGGTCGATGATACATTACCCGCTGAGGTGAAAATTTATCAAATTAATTAAATTAATTGAAACTTTTGTCAAATCATATATTTATACTCTTATTTTTTTGTTTCAGGTGGACAAGAGTTTACTAAAACTTATTCGAGATTCAATACGACAAGGTTTTCAATGGGGTACTCGAGAAGGACCTTTGTGTGATGAACGTGAGTATCCCTCGTAATTTATATAATTATTTTAAAGTCGATTAACGTGACATTTAATCGCTTTGTTTTAAAAGCTATACGTAATGTCAAATTTAGGTTATTGGATGCCGTTGTGGCACCCGAACCTTTATTCCGTGGAGGTGGACAAGTAATTCCTACTGCAAGACGTGTTTGTTACTCTTCGTTTCTCACGGTAATGTCTTATATATATATTTGCTAACTAGAACAATAGGGTTGAAATACCGGCTTTTTTTTTTATACAAAATTGTATAAATTATTTAAAAAAACAGGATATATTCGAAACTTGGCTATATTATTTCACACCCTGATATAAACATATATTACATGAAATTTCATGATCATTTAAATTGTATTAAATAGGCAACACCAAGATTGATGGAACCAGTATATTACGTTGAAATTCAAGCACCGGCTGATTGTGTTTCAGCTGTGTACACAGTTCTGGCCAGAAGGAGGTTTGTAATCTTAATATTAATTTTTCCATCATCTCTAAATTGACAATATTGTCATTTTATTTATTTATTTTACTTTTTTTTAGAGGACATGTCACACAGGATATTCCTAAGGCAGGCTCTCCATTATATACCGTTAAAGCTTATATTCCTGTGATTGAAGCAAATGGATTTGAAACAGATTTAAGAACTCATACACAAGGACAGGCATTTTGTCAACAGATGTTTGACCATTGGCAGGTGATTTATAGTCACACTTTATATATACTATTTTTTGGATATATAAGTTAGATCTATTTTTGCTAACGTGTGATATCTTTATTTAATTATTCTAGATTGTTCCTGGTGATCCGTTGGATAAAAGTATTGTTCTTCGACCTTTGGAACCTAGTCCAGCACAGCATTTGGCAAGAGACTTTATGGTAAAAACCCGAAGACGAAAAGGGTTATCTGAAGATGTTTCTGTTAATAAGGTATGTGAATATTTTGATTTTATCACATCTAATCACATCTAATCACAATACATTTTTATTTGTCACTAGTTTTTCGATGATCCATTATTATTAGCTATGGCGCAGTCAGATGTTCTTGGTGGATATACACTTTAGATCATACCGATACTTTATTATTACAAATATTCGTAATAGGCTAAAAATAGTTAATCGATGCAATGTAATAAATGTAATAAATATGGTATGGGAGATAATGAATTAATTTCTAGCCTTTTTTACATACAAAGTAACAATCGTAGATTTGATTTAACTTAAAATATTAAACCAATAAAAAATGTACACGCATAATCACATAAAAATCGGCGAATCAACAAATTCCACATATCAATCACAGATCGATGGCTCAAATATATAAACCTGAAAAAAAAGCGAGTCAAAATCCAATCCTCCCAACATCAAAAGAACATTAGAAAGACTCGAATTAATCGTGTTTGGTTAAACTGCCTTATTAGCCAGTTATCCATAAACGATGAAGTATAATATCCGTGTTATCGCTTTATTTATCGCTTCTGCATTTGCTGTCAGTACATATGCAGATCCTTCAGAGCCGTCCGCTTCTATTTTGGATGAAAAGCCAGAGTTTAAGGTAGAATAAAGTTAAACTGTTTCACAGGCGATTTACCAGTGTTCATATCCCCTTTCCTTCTTCGCATTAGCTATAACACTAGCTTAATAATTGCGGTTGATCCCCCGAATTATATACACATACAAAACCAAAGTTTGTTAAATGCATTATTATCATTTATCTCGCAAATTTAAAAAAGAATTATCTTTATAAGAAGCACATTATTATATGCATATATGAAATAATCAGTAACCAAATTTTAATCAAATATCTTTTAATTTCGTAGCCAACGAATATTAAAGCACCGTTCCTAGAACAATTCACAAGTGACTGGTCAAACCGGTGGTCACCTAGTAGTGCCACGAAAGAAACAAAAGATGGTGGTGAAACTTTCAGTTACGTTGGAAAATGGGAAGTTGAAGAACCACGAGTTTTTCCTGGCATAAAAGATGATGAAGGTTTAGTCATGAAAACTGCAGCTGCTCACCACGCTATATCCGCACGCTTTGAAAAGCCATTGGATAATAAAGATAAAACGCTGATTGTTCAGTTAGTATTATTTTATAAAGTATTTTCATAATTAGCATTCATTAATATCGATCTCATAAATTAATCATCAAAATATATAGATATGAAGTTAAACTTCAAGATGGACTTGAATGTGGCGGTGCTTATTTAAAACTTTTGACTGAATCCGACAAAGGAATTCAAGCTATAGAATTCTCAGATAAAACTCCTTATACGATTATGTTTGGACCTGATAAATGTGGTAGTACGAACAAAGTTCACTTTATCTTCCGACACAAAAATCCTGTAACTGGTGTATATGAAGAAAAACATATGAATGGCGCTCCAGCAGCGAAAATTAGCAAAATTAGTACTTTATATAGTCTTATCGTTAGGTAAGTATATTATAAGAGAGTCATTCTAATCTGAATTAATCACAACTATCTATAATTTATTCTAAAATAAAAATAAAAAATTGTTTTTAGACCTAATAACACGTTCGAAATTCTCATTAATAATGAATCAGTTAAAACTGGAGACCTCTTAAGTGATTTTTCACCAGCCGTCAATCCACCAAAAGAGATCGAGGACCCTAATGGTATGTATTTGATTAATTTTT